CTTAACACCAGATAATGAAAAAATAGATTCTAGCTAGTTAAACCAAGCCTTAGGGTTAGTCTCTCGGAAAGGCGGGATAGGGAAACGGAACGCGCTAACCTGATCGTCAGAATCTGCGTGAATGACCTTCATGGTGAAATAATTCCGTGTAACGAACATTCGATACCATTGTGGCGCGTGATCGAATTTGAATCGTTGCTTTTACGGCGTCTTTCCCCGTTTGCCTTCCAGAGCGCCATTCCTGTGCAGTTACCGAAGAAGGACAAGAACCCGAAGAGAACGGTTAACTGTAACACTTCTTTCATTCATTTTATGTTACACTGATTTCTTCTTATAGAGCCTACGTGTTGTTTAATAGAAGTTCCGTCCCATACCTGGACTTCTGCCTGACCTGTATACTACAACTTGGCGACCCTGCCAGGATCAGAGAGTTATGCCGAAAATTGTGAATCAGTCTGACGCTGAGGAACAGTCGCCTGTTACAGATCCTGTGTGGAGAATTTCTTCTGCCCTAGAATCCTTGTCTGAAGCCCTGCAGAAGATGACAGTGAACGCCGCACCGGCCTCGTCTGCACCCTCGTTACCACCTCCCGAAAGATTTTCACTGGGCATGCCCTACTCGAGGTGGGAAAAACAAGTGCAATCGTACTTAAAACTTTTCCCTGCTTCACAACACGGTGCAGTTGTCATGTCCTTGCTTTCTGGCGAAGCTTTCGATATGGTGGCCGATAGTAACCTCCTAGAAGAAAACGTCACGGCAGAGACCTTTGCCGCACTTCGTCGCCTTCTGGACCGACCCGGCTTGCCCGATGAACTTCGTCGAACATTCCACGCGAGGTACCAAAAACCTGGGGAACGTATTGAAGCTTATGTACGGGAGTTAAGCAGATTAGCCGAAACTGCATTCGCGGACGAATCACAAAGCGAAAGAAACAAGCGCACCCTGGAACAGCTGCTCGAAGGAGTTCAGACCCCTTCCGTCAAGAGGGAGTTCCGCCTGCGTCGTCCCGAATGCCTTGAGACAGCTGTACAAGTGGCGGAGCAGTTGGAGTTGGTTGACGCGGCGATGGAAGCCCCGACTTATTGGTGCGGTGCCTTGAGGAGCCATGACCACCCCAACCTTATATCCGGAAAGAGAGCAGTTCAGTATACGTCTCAACGAAGCCGCGGCACAAGGCCTACTATGCGGCCAAACTTTGGAGGACCGCGATATCAGCCAGGTGGATACGGGAATTACAGACGACCCCGCAGCAACAGGCTTTTGCAAGGTGAGTGCGACTGTGCACGGTCTCGATTTATACCCGCTGTTGTTTGTACTTCGTCCGAAACACCAACGTTGACCTTAGAAGTACGGGTTGGGGACGTCCCACTAGTAGGCTTGATTGATACTGGGGCGTGTAAAAGCCTACTTAGGTACAATGTCGTTACAATGCTGACGGACTTCGTTAGGGCACCTTGCCGCTACCGTTTGACTGCAGCTAACGGCGAATCTCTCACCGTCCGGGAATCTATCACTGCGAGACTGGATATCGCCAACGAAAAGTTTAACCACGAGTTTGTTGTCGCTGATAGGACACCGTTTGCTGCAATCATTGGTATGGATGTTCTGAGCCGTTTGAAATGTCGACTGGACTTGGGAAATTGTCAGCTGATCACGGATAAGTGTACTACATTTCTTAGATCGTGCAGGAACGATGTGTTAGAAGCTTTTGCAATTTGTGAGGACATTTCTAACAGCGAACAATGCATGGACACGTTTGTCCGTTCTCTCCATCTTCCCACTCACGATCAGACACGAGAAAAGCTTAGAGATGTGTTGCTCCAGCACTTAGATGCATTCGCGTGGGCAGCCGAAGACCTAGGCCGGACCAACGTGGTAAAACATCAGATAGATACTGGGAACGCAACACCGATCAGGACTCCCCCGCGGCGGATCCCGATACACTGGCAGGGAGAACTGCAGAAGCTCATTGAGGAAATGCTAGAAAAAGGTGTTATACGTCCCTCTACATCTCCCTGGACAGCTCCGGTTGTCTTGGTGAAGAAAAAGGACGGTAGCTTTCGGCTGTGTGTTGACTATCGACGTCTGAATGGGGTCACTCGAAAAGACACGTTTCCTCTTCCTAGAATCGACGATCTCTTCGACGCGCTCGGAGGCTCAGCTTACTTTAGTACGTTAGATCTGGTATCTGGTTATTGGCAGGTAGAAGTTGATGAGAGCGACAGGGCGAAGCCGGCGTTTGTTGTTCCGTCGGGCCTTTATGAGTTTCAGACGATGCCTTTTGGACTATCGAACGCCCCCGCAACCTTTCAACGCCTCATGCAGAAGGTTCTGCACGAATTAATCCCCCATAAATGTCTCGTTTATTTGGATGACGTCATCGTGCATGGAAAAACAAAGGATGAACACTTAAACAACCTAGCGGAGGTGCTAACGTGCTTAATAAAGGTGGGCCTCAAACTCCAACCGACAAAATGCCACTTTCTACAAAAAGAAGTTGCCTATCTTGGACATATCATTTCTGAGACGGGCATTCGGACGGATCCTCGTAAGACAGAACAGGTGAGAGCTTGGCCAACCCCCACTAGTGTCGAGGAATTACGCCGCTTCTTGGGGCTGGCTTCGTACTACCGTCGTTTCATAAAAGGTTTCTCAGAGGTCGCAGCACCTTTAAACGCGCTGTTACAAAATGGTTGTATTTTCGATTAAAGCATTGAATGTCAAGCGGCTTTCGACCGCCTACGTGATTCCCTCTGCACTAACCCCGTTCTTGTCTTCCCAGACTTGTCGGCACACGCTGGGGAGTTCGTTCTGGATACGGATGCAAGCGACCAGGCGATTGGCGCTGTGTTATCACAGAAAGGGTCAGATGGTCGGGAGAGAGTAGTGTCTTACATCAGTCGGACTCTTACCTCAAGAGAAAGGAACTATTGTACAACCAGAAAAGAAATGTTAGCACTAGTATTCTTCATAAAGCAACATCGCCATTATCTGCTGGGGAGGAAGTTTGTAGTACGGACAGACCACCAGTCTCTCAAGTGGTTGCAGAATTTCAGGGACCCCGAGGGGCAAATCGCTCGTTGGCAACAGCAATTACAGGAGTATGATTTTGAGTGTCACCACCGGCCAGACAAACAACATGGCAAGGCGGACGCGCTGTCCAGAATACCACTCTGCGACCACGGCGATTGTCCTTCGTGTATCACACAACACGTAGCGCTAGTTAACCTCCAAGGAGCTGAGTACGGTCGTTGGCAAGAGGCACAAGCTTCAGACCCAGGCATCTCACTTATCTACGACAAACTACGCTCAGGTGGTGATAAACCGACTCCGAAGGAGATGGAAGGGAAAAGCTATGAAGCTCGGTGTTTGTGGGCGATGTGGGACAGGCTCGCGATTGAAGAGGGGGTGCTAGTGTTTGATTTCGGCCCAACATACGTTCGGAGAGTCGTTGTTCCGCAACCCTTAGTTACCGAAGTGCTCTCGGAGCTGCATCAACAACTGGGACACGCTGGAGTTAACAAACTCGAGACCGCGGCACGCCGCCGATTTTGGTGGCCACATCAGCGAAGGGATATAATGAACTTTTGTCAAACGTGTGAGAGGTGCGCGACGTTCAAGAGTCCATGAATAGCCCACAAGGCACCGCTGTAATCTGTAACGGCAGGGTATCCGAACGAGATTGTGGGAGCCGACCTCATTGGTCCTCTACTGGAAACACCACGAGGGAATCGATACATCCTAGTCATGGTGTATTATTTCACCAAATGGTGCGAAGCCGTGCCGATCGCGCAAGCTGACACCGTCACCGTGGCAACAGCGATGACAAACCATTGGGTTTGTCAGTGGGGAGCACCGGGACAGCTGCATTCGGATAGAGGGTCCTGTTTCGAAAGCTCGCTGGTGCAGGAAACCTGCAGTGTTGGGTATTGATAAGACGCGAACGACGGCGTATCACCCTCAAGGTAACGGACAAGTGGAACGCACGAATCGGTCGTTAAAGTCGTTGCTGAGAGCCTTCGTAGACCAGAACATTTACGATTGGGATATTTTATTACCTAAGTGCTTGCTGGCATATCGAAGTACGGTCCACTCATCTACGGGGCAAACGCCATCTCTCATGTGGACGGGAAGAGAAGTTCGGCTTCCTACAGACGTCCGACTACCTATATCGCAACGTCTGTATCCGTCTGTAACCGACTACGTCAGTAGACTTCTTGACTCTATTCGACAAACGCATCAGGCTGCGCGCGTTCATTTGGCGAACGCCCAACGACGGCAAAAGGAATACTACGACAAAAAGGTTTTTGGCGTTCCGTTGAAGACAGTCGAGCTCGTGTATTTGCATCAGGCATTAACGACGGGGATACCAGCGAAGCTACATCACGAATGGTCAGGTCCTTACGTTGTGCAGAGAGTAATATCTGATTTGACTTGTGTGATTAAGGATCCAAACAACCCCAGTGCACAGCCGATGATTGTACACTTGAACAGGCTTAAACCATTTCGTAGTGAAACTGACCACCCAGGCGGGGAACTCCGCGAGGAAACACCGACAGAGATAGGGGCTGAAATAGAAGTACCGGTCGAAGGAGGCTACGGTGTGGCAACGGGGACGTTGCATACTTAGATGGGGTGCGGTGTAACGAACATTCGATACCATTGTGGCGCGTGATCGAATTTGAATCGTTGCTTTTACGGCGTCTTTCCCCGTTTGTCTTCCAGAGCGCCATTCCTGTGCAGTTACCGAAGAAGGACAAGAACCCGAAGAGAACGGTTAACTGTAACACTTCTTTCATTCATTTTATGTTACACTGATTTCTTCTTATAGAGCCTACGTGTTGTTTAATAGAAGTTCCGTCCCATAACTGGACTTCTGCCTGACCTGTATACTACATCCGGAGCGTGTGAATGTGAATGCAAGTAGTAAAGAGAAAAAGTAGAAAGGTAAACAGAATAAGTTACCAGATCTGAAAAGAAAGATTAGTATCAAACTCACGAAAAAAACTTTTCCGGGGTCACCAATTATAGCGTGTTGATCTTGCGCTATGTATCCGGTACGCGACTAGACGGTCAACCAAAAGCAATGCGTAGAAGACACAAGAGTAAGCTAGGGAAGAAGTTTATTGGACGGGATGAGCGTTAGGTAATCTAAAAATGGGGCACCCGGAGAGAGCCGGCTAGGGAGGATGTCGTTGGCATCGAGTGCGTTCACAGAGCGAGAGTAGCTAATTTTTGACATGAAAAATTAGTTCAAGTGGGACTGGAACGATAGGATGAATCCCGTAAGTGTTCCTTCTTGAGCGGGTCGTCGATCCAGGAGTTGATAGGGGTGCTCCGACTTCTTGATGGGTCTAAAAGGAAAACACCCGAAAAACACCCTGGTCCACCAATTTAATGCCCACGTTCCTAACATTAGCTGTCCCAGCTGTGTCAGTTACGTGAAGTAAGTAAGAGAGGAAGGAGAATCGAAGGTAAGGGAGTAGGGGAAATCAGTTAAAAGAAGAGAATAATACCAATGACGAGGAAAAGCAAAGAAAATAGAATCGAAGTATGAAGATGGGAATTTGTCAGGAAAACGGAAAGGTTTCGTGTTGCCACCCAAGAGCATCTAGTTGACGCTCAAACCCCTTAACCGTAGCTTCCTTGACAACATGTTCTGGAAGCAGGTTCCAGCGCTCGATGACTCGACGCGATAAGCGTGTCTCCGCTCTAACTCGATCGGACCGCGGCTTGTCCAGCTTCATACAATGCCCGCGAAGACCAGATAATCTAGCAGGACTAAATAGCATGGACAAATCAGGGCCAACCTTCCCAGTCAAAATACGGTAGGTTAGGATTAGGTCCCCTCTAATCCTTCGATAGTGCATTGACTGCATTCCCAAACTAAGTAGGCGTTCGGGGTACGTTTGCCCTCGTAATCCCTTGACCAACCTAGTACCGACACGCAACACCCTTTCTAGTGCCATTTTGTCCCGGACAAGGCATGGTGGACAGGCCTGGACGCAATATTCTAGGTGGGGTCGCACAAACGCTGAGAAGAGCTTCACAAATACATCAGCGGTTAGGGTCCCAAAAGAACGACGGATAAACCACAACATCCGGAACCCTTTACTAGCCGCCTTCTTCCAGTTGTCTCCAGAGTGTAATGTGGAACAGTGGATGACACCTAGATCAACCTGATGAGTCACGTGAGGAAGTACAGTCCCATCGAGCACATAACTTGTGGAGGAATCAGACGCTCCGATACGCAGCACTGAACACTTTGCCCGGTTTATAGGCAGCAACCACAAGACAGACCATTCCCAGAGTTTATCCAGAGCCCGTTGAAGAGCCATAGGACCTCCAGGGATATCAACAATATTCCAGAGCTTTAGGTCATCAGCAAATAAAAGCGATTGTACCTCAAGCTCCTCCGGCAAGTCATTCACGTAGACTGAGAACAGCAGCGGACCTAGGACAGAGCCTTGCGGAACGCCGCTAAGCACAGCCTGTCGAAACGAAAGACTGCTTCCCACACGAATACACTGTTCCCGTCCATCCAGAAAAGCTGACACCCACTGGAGAGCACGACCAGCTATTCCATACGACCTCAACTTCAGCGAGAGTCGCGAATGGGGGACAGTGTCAAAGGCCTTGGCGAAGTCAATGAACACCACATCCACCGCATGTCCACTGTCTACGGCTTCAGCCCAGCACTCTCGAGCTACCAGCAAGTTCGTCTGACACGAAAATCCTTTGCGAAAACCATGTTGCTCGACGCTAAGCAGGTTAAACCTACTTAAATGGTTCTCCACTGTATCTCGTACTATTTTTTCAAGTAACTTAACGACCACGCTAGTCAAGCTGACAGGCCTGTAATTAGCAGGTAGGTCTTTGTCACCGCACTTGAAAATCGGGCAGACAACAGCCTCCTTCCATTCGGTAGGCAAGATACAGCTGTTGAGTGACTTCTGAAACACACAAGTCAGAGGTCCACTGAGTTCCCCTGCCAATTCGTGCAACAATTTTGGATGAACAGAATCTGGCCCAGAAGCCTTAGTTGGGTTCACCTCTGTTAGCAACCGGAGAACTTGGGACTCCGTTACAGGAATTTCATCCAGACAACAGTCCTCAGGGACTCTTGGAACTAACTCTTTGCATGGCGTATTTGTCTCGCGGACAAAGACGCTTGAGTACTGCTTACCAAGCACGCATGCCTTGTCATAGTCGCTATAGGCATGGGTCCCATCTCCTCGAAGCAATGGTGGAATGGGCGAGTTTGCACCACAGCGTCGTTTAACGTAAGCAAAGAATCTCTTGGGATTTTTCGAAGCAGTATGAGCTAAGCCCTTTTCATACTGAAGCCGGGCCAACCTAAGATGTAGCTTGCACTCATTTCGAACCAACCGATATTTGTCAAACGTGCCGTTTGACGGAGCTGTTCGGTAAGCTCGCCAGCATCTAGACCGCTTCTTTAGCAGGCCCTTCCCCGCGGAATCTATCCACGGAGGCTGCGCTCTCGATTCCCTTCTTTTTACCAGTGGGACGTGAGGTGCAGAAATGTCGACGAGGTGAGCCTTAAGCTTTTCCCAGGCTATATGAACAGTGTCGGTATCAGATATCACACAAGGCGATGACCTAGCTCTATCCCGCATCGCTTGGAAGTCCGCGGCCCAAATGTTCGGATACCAACTGGTAGTAGCTTGGCAAGACCTGATAAGAGCACACTGGAAAGACAAGCAAACGTGATCGCTAGCGCCAAGAGGCGAGTCATATTTAATGTCATTTACAAAGTCAAGTGACTTAGCAAAAACAAGATCTAAAATGGACGGCTGCTGATTGCTCATGTACCTAGTGGGGAGGTCCACGAACTGGTGTAGTGGTACCTGCAGCGTCAAGTCCAGCAGTTCTGTACCGAACGATTCCAGCGTCGAACTGCAAGATAGATCATCCCAACAAACATCTGGGAGGTTAAAGTCTCCCAGCACCAGACACTTGTTCGCAGAGTGAGTGCGTATAAAGTCAATGATTCCATTGGAGGTGCTCATAGGGCTTCTATACACTAACACAACCGTAACCTGAACCGAGGAAGCGCAAATCAAGACTGCGAGAGCCTCAACAGATTTGTCGAGAGACTGAAAAACGCTGGTCCTCAATACGTCGATGTGATAACTCACATAAAGAGCTACACCACCCCCTTGACGGCCAGTGGAGCGATCAGCGCGGAACAGTGCGTAGCCAGGCAGATATACTTCGCCATCTGTGATTTCCTCAGACAGCCACGTTTCGGTGAAAGCAAGTATATCTGGACGAGATTTGTCTACGAGCAGACCCACCTCGCACATTTTGTTCCTCAGGCTACGCACGTTACTAAGTACTACTTGGAGTGTTTCGGCCCGACCAGCCCTGGGTCGTGCGCAATTAGTATAGGTTCTGGCAGGGCGGAAAAGGACCGCCGGCTGACCACCTGAAAACCCACCAATCGGAGACCTTGCTCGCCAGCTGCACGCCGGGCTTTTAGGTCTCTGATGGCTTCCTTTAACTTTAACCTATCCGCTAACGGAAGGTCTGGTTGCACACTAACCGCGGTACCTTTGAGCTTGAAGGCAAATCTCAGTAAGGCCCTGCGCTCTTCTGGGGTGGAGAGGACCACCCTAAGCAAACGGGGTCGAGGATTTGGTTGACCAACCGTAACGTTCCCCAATCTGATGAGCTTCCTGACAGTAACGCCAGGGAAACCTGGTGGTAAAAGCCTGGTCACACAAACTTTAAGCCAATCAAGATCCTCAAGCATGCGCTCGGCAGGAAGAGCTGCAGTGGATTCAGTGACGTTTCTGAAAATCACACTGCTATCTGTGTAAGAATCGCCTCGACGAGGTGTATTTACACCACATGCTCTACCATCCACGCCATATGGTTGTCTGACGGGAACTGGTGAAACCGAAGGCGACGGCACCTCTTGTCTCACTGAGGGAAGTGCAACACCAGGTGGTGTTTTCAAAGCAGGCGCTTGCTTCTTGAGCATTTTGTCACCTTCCGGTTTGGGGGCGGAGGGTTTGCGCGCTTTCCTTACTCTCTTACGCTTATTCTTTAATGGCTCAGGAGCCCGTGATTCGCCTTCCATTTGGGGAGGGTCAACAATGCCGTCCGAGGCATCTGTGTCTGTCATATCCACGTGAACAGGAGCGTCCGGTAGGATGAACTCCTCGTCAACGGTTGGACTATCAGCAGGACAGTCAGTTACAGCTTCCACATTCGCGATATTCAGGGATTTCATAATCAAATCCACTTTAGAATTGAGCGAGGCAAGTGAGGCAAGCTCGGCTAATGCCTTCTCGACAACTGTGAATCTGGACGCTAGTGCTTTGAATTCAGCACAGGTGAAAGCCGGGAGCTTCGCTTTCTGAGCGCAACAATCAGCACATCTAAAAAGAAGGCTTTCACTGGATGATAGCATCTTGTACTGATTCGCTCGGAGGCCGGTACAACTTTTGTGATACCAACGAGAGCAAATATCACACTGCATACCACCAGATGAATCTGTGACTGGCCTTGAACAGGCAGAATTGCTGCAAGGTGCATTTGACTCATCAAACGAAGACGCGAGGGCTTCATCCGTCCCGGTTTTTCGCGAGACGACCATATTGAAGTGGAAAACAACGCAGAATTTAAAAACACGTAGACAACCGTAAAACTACCACAATAAAAAGGCAAAACAGGGTGTAAAACGGGATTAAAAAGGGAACAACCGCAAAATTACCAGTAAGCGTCAGGAAGACGCTTTGGCCAGTACCACTTTAGTCGATCCAAGATATCTTGGATCAAATGAAATTTGACAAGAGCCAAATTTCGTTTCAAGTGTTTATTCAAACACTGTCTTCCACGTTATTTCAACTAAAAATCTCGATCAGTATGGCACGCCAAAAAACCGAGTTACCGCGTAGCACTCACAGTACACAGGACATACTTTGCGTTCCGGTACACCAGGCTAAATGGTGATGCTTTCATAACTGGATTTGATAGAGAGGAGTATAAGTCGCTTTGTGCTTAAGTATGTACAAAAGTGGTAGTTGGTAAGATTTATTAATTGTAAATTTCTCTTT